GCCGCTCAGTACTCAGACATGTTTGTTAGCAACGTTTTAGACGCTCTGAGCTTCTCCATCAGCCGCTGTCCATGTGTGCGTGTTGTTTAGTCCTGTTGTACGTGCTGTTAGTGAGAGAAAAATAATAGTAATAAAGAATTTTTGAATCATGGATATCAATGTCTTGATTTTTTATTATAAAACTCTTTTACAGCATGTACTGTAGACGCATAACCGATGCTTGTTCTGACTTCAGCTTTGGTCTTTGCTTCTCTGGCTGTTTCTTCATTCTCCTTGTCTACCTGCCTGCATGCAAGTTCACTTCCCTGCCTAAGACCACTGCTCTTCGTCAGAATAGTGCAGGGGTGTTACACAAAGAAACCCCCCCCAACTCAGAAAAGAATTAGCTTAATTGACAATCCAGGTCTGAACAAGCCCAGAAAACCCCAGATCTTCCAGGAACAGAGTTGGAGATCCATCCTTGGAAGAATCATGGAGGTTGTTTCTCAGGTGCAGAGACTGCAGACTCAGTGGCTTAAAGCTGATGTTATGAGTCTATCAGTGTTACAACTCCCTGCTAACTACAAATCCTCCAGCTAGATTTTCCCAGTGATGAATCTCTTGCCTTCAGATGAGATGCTACCGAGCTACATGATCATGTGTGTTCACTGTCTATCCTGTGCTGTGGTACAGGGGTGCACTGCACAGGGAACAGGCCTGTCCTGGGACACAAGGGTGACAATCAAGCATCTGGGTTCAGTTTCATGAAACACCTTGAGATAAATGTCCCCTTCGGTTTATTCTCATGTGTTTTGTATATTTAAGGGTATTTCCTAATATGCTTGTTTCAGCACATTGCTCTTCAAGCCATCTTTACATTTTTCAAATGATTAAAATTGTAAATCATCTTGCAGCAGGCTAATCTGTTGACAGAATCTGACGATATTCAAGATATTACCAAAAATATTTCAATATAAACAAATCATGCCAGTATATCACAGACAGACTCTGATCCACAAGTTCAGAATCAACAGGTTATCCTCTCTCTCAGGAGATTTTACCCTGGTATAAGTGTGTGCTTGTGATGGACTAGCTTCTGGTCCAGAGTATATCCTGCCTTGTGCCAGGCTGGCTTTGTCCCCTGTGACACTGAATTGGACAAAACTGGATGTTTTTTTGTGTTTTTTCCCTTCACCTGCTTTTCCAAAATGCAGACATGCATTTCAGTCCCTGAGAAAAGCTCCTACTGAGAACCAGAGATCAATCTGGGGGCCTTTTTGAAAACTAATTCCTGCTTGGTATAGTTTAAATGTTTTTGTAATGCCAAACAGTTGAGGTGCTACTGTATGTGAAATATGATGAAAATGGTTATTATCAATAACAACAATACTAGATTAATTGATATTTGTTGGGAAATATCTCTGAATCCAAGCCCTCACACTGTCCATTGTAATGGACAGCAGAGCCCAGTATTTATTTTGACTGAGCAAGACCTAGAATATAGATCATCTGTCCAATCAGTCTTATCAATGTTCTCAAAAATGACAGGACAGAGCATAAACTATCAACTGCAGAGTATACATACTGAGCTGGAGAGTCAGCAGTCAAACCCTGGACAGCAGATTTTAACCAGTGAACAGATTCAATGTTTCTTTCAGTCTCCATCTAAGTGTGACTTTGTTTAGTTAATCTGCAGTAGAGTAATTAGCGCACATGAATATTAATAATTATCTAGAGTCTTTAAAAGGGACCTGTAAGCTGTTCTGCATGCCAGAGAGAGATACGGACTCTCAGAGCAGGTAGAAGAGAGTTAAACCCAGCCATTGTGTTATGATGTAGACAGCAGTGTTAGAGGGAGAGGAGCCCCTAGAGACTCTTCTTCATCTGGGCTGTGCTGCCCTGGCCCAGCTGCAGGGCTCATCCTGTCTATGCAAATCCTCCCAGCAGCAGCTTCAGTTTCTCGCCACATCTCGATTTCGTAGCCAAAAATACACCGGGGACAGTCTGAGCTGGGTGCAGCCAGGCTGATTTGCCTAGCATGGGGGAGAATGGGCTGGTGGAGGGAAGTGTCACACTGTGAGGGTGTCAGAGAGCTGCACCTGTTCAAGAGCAGGAGAGCAGGAGAGCAGATCATGGGTCTTGTCAGGCTTTTTTAAACATCACTAACATTTTATATGAAGAGTCACTTAGGGCTTATAAATATTAAATAGATACTTTAGTAGCTCTGTGCTTTAAGCATCTCCTATGAGGTTTTTGCTACAGTAACTACATGAGCACTGAATGTTCACGAATAGCCCCAGTATAACAATGGCTTAGGTACTAATTACATTTCTATTTGTCTTTCTGTGTACAACCCATGTTACCCATGAATGTGTGCTCATTGTCTGGTGTCTGTCTCAAGAGGGCCTTTGATCACAGCAGGGAACACACAGGATAAGGCATGAAACTGAACCAACACAGTGGTGTTACAGACCCATCAAATTATCTTAACGTGATACAGCCTGCAACACCTGATGCCCAAAACTCACCCTTTTCACTCTGTGACATGTGCAGCAAGCAAAACAAGAGTCTGTCTCTAAAAAAAAGATTACTTTTATGGGATTGAAGAAAAAATAAATAAAATGTGATGTTCTTTTTTTCAATTAATAAAACTTAATAATAGGAATTATGCTGTAGAGTTGCATCGTTATAGCATGTTTGTTTTGTGTTTATTGTTTATATTTGATTTTATTACAGTTCAACACGCAAATCCAGTCTCACACAGGTACAGTATATTGCAGTAAAGCAGGTTCCTCCTTATTCGGGTCCTCTTGAATTAGACTGCTCCTCAGATTATTAACTGGAAGTTAATCATATATTTTAAACAGTTTATATATAGTTTTATAGTTTTCAGAGACAGACCCCATTCCTACTGTGAACATGTGAAATAGAGATCTAAAAGACCACTTTGTGTCTTTTGTGGTTTTGTTAGTTTTTGGGACTTGTTTCAGTGTTGAAGTGAACTCTGCTCAAAATAAGTTTCAATTGTACTGCTGGTTTGACAGTTTGAAAAAGTGTGCAGTTCAGTTTTGAAGATTAATCTGATTAGTGGTGCACCCAGAGAAAATCCTAAATAAGGCCCCATCTCTCTCTTCATCTCTGTGGTGCAGCCACAGAGAAGCTATTCATGCAGGCTCATTTAAAGATGTTTACGTTTGATAAGGGACAGCTCCCAAATGGGGATGCACTTAGCTAAGCCTGGCTATCATGATCAATGGTCATCCATTGGGGCCTATCTGTCTAGGGAGTGCCAGATGGACATCTGGACTGCATTCCTAAGTGTCAGGAGTAAGTGACTCATATCTCACCTTGATCAACCAATC